GCAACACTCTTGATATAGTTAGACATTACTTAACTATCACAACATAAATATTAAAAACTACATTTCTTACAGGGCATTTTTTTTTGCCCCCATATATTGAATTATATTGTAAACTGATAGCCTTCATCCGGCACTGAAAAACTCTCATGATGTGTTTGTTTGTTTTTTTGCAAAGTTACAAAATGTCAACTCGCACATCATTAAAACAGTTAGGATATTAATACACAATAAATATCGCACACTCCTCGCTCATTTACTTTCTCCATGCGAAGCTGTCCAGTGTGTCACAGTGTCGTTTAATATTGCACACATTTACCACAGCCACGAGTTGTGATTAAACATACCTGTCGGCGTTGAGATTAGGGGAGAGCGGGGCACAAAGTAACACTTTTTGACTTTCCCAGTTTGTGTAAATCCACATGGGGTTCAGAGTATAATTTTTTTATCCACAGTAATTTCACACTTGTCTAGCACAAATATGTTTCATAATTTCATAATTACAGTGTATACATTTTTCTTTATTTACTCTCAAAAAATGGAAGTGAAATGTGACAACATGCTGGAACACATTTGACCATATGACAGCTTAAAATCTTATCTGATCGAATGAAAAAAATATACAAGACAAACTAAAATATTTGTTAATAATAAAAAAAAAAAAAATAATATATATATATATATTATTATTAATTTTATTTAATTTTTTTTATTTATTTATTTTTTACAAATAAAATAATAGTGTTTTTTAAGAATCAAAAATAATCAGATTTTGGAGTTTGACAATGAACACATTGCAACCATGCCTGGGACGGCCCACATAAACGAGCAAAAATGCTTTACATGTCTTGAAATAATAATTTCTAAACATTAAACATTGACTGTCAGTCTTTATTCACCTGTTGTTTCTCATTAAAATTAATTAAAGTAAATAGTGTAAATTACATCGCTAATGTCATAGGATAGTACATTGTAACGCCATTGTAAATCCCCATCTGCGCAACTGGAATTTAAAACTGGTTAGTGTCTTCTGCTAGTAATCAAAGCATTAAAAAAATATATCTGAACTGATAAATAACAGATTGGAGATTAAAATAATAGCAGATTTGTCTCATTTTAAATTAATAATAAAAACTGAGATAAAAAATTTGCTTAAGCCAGAATTTAAATGTTACTATGGTAAAATAAATATTCAAACCACGTGTGTTACAACTAACACCCCATTACTTTGTGCATCGCACTCATCGAAAGTTTATTGTTAAATTGTTAAATGCCCTTACATATGTCACCATTATACGTGTTTGATCACCACATTTGAGTGATCATGGCAAAAAATGTGTTTGTATATACAGTATATTCTGTTTATGTATATACTGTATTCTATATATAGTACCAGTCAAATGTTTGGACGCATGAATGGGAAAGTGTCCAAACTTTTGACTGGTACTGTACTATAATATACACAAAGAATATCGGCCGATATATCGGTTTTTTCCTTTTTTTTTTTTTTTTTTTTACTCCCTAATATCGGTATCGTATCGGCCCCAAAAAACCCATATCGGTCGGGCTCTACTGTAGACACACATACACATTACAGCAGACTGTTGTTGACTGTAGAGTTGGGCCAATAGATGATGCCATCATCGTGATTCCCCTAGTTGTCCATGTGTACTGTCTGTACTGTGCACTGGTCTAATAAACAGACTGAAAATGTCACAAAACTACAATGCGTTCATAAATGTTGCATAACCCTTTAGTTTCCATGGTGAAATGGTAGATCCACATAATTACCTTTGTGTAACTATTTCTTTTTCTCCTCCTCTCTGACTGTAGGTGCCAATGATCCTGGTGGGTAATAAATGTGATCTGGAGGACGAGAGGGTGGTGGGGAAAGAACAGGGGCAAAATCTGGCCCGGCAGTGGAACAGCTGTGCCTTTCTAGAGTCCTCCGCCAAATCGAAAATCAACGTCCTTGATGTGAGCATTTAACATTTACTCATTTGACATTTCCCCCATTCAGAACATATTCCAGTAGTTTAACAGACCTGCCAACCTGTATGCATTTTGCGGGTACACACTAGGCATGGGCCGGTATGAGATTTTGACGGTATGATAACCTTAAGCAAAAAATATCACTGTATCACGGTATTGTCGTTACAGCTCTAAAATGTGTTATTTTAAATGATTGGGTAAAAAAAAAAAAGTTTTTCTGCTAAACACAATATATTTTGTTTTTGAGCAACATACAGAATATTAGGAACAGTAGAATTTGTTTATTTTTTCTTTGATTTGTTTCCTAAAGAGAAGAAAAATAAAGACTGACGTCTTTATTTAACCTAAATCTGTAGCCTAATTACAGTTATTTAATTTTAGTTATATAATTCATATACATATAATTTATATAATTTCAAATAATTTAGTTATATAATTTCATATAATTTGATTTAATAACCCAATGTGAAGCAAAAACAGAATGTTCTGACTAGCTTTGTGAAATTATACTACAATGCCTGAACAAAGCAATATCACGGTATTGTCGTTACAGCTCTAAAATGTGTTATTTTAAATGATTGGGTAAAAAAAAAAAAGTTTTTCTGCTAAACACAATATATTTTGTTTTTGAGCAACATACAGAATATTAGGAACAGTAGAATTTGTTTATTTTTTCTTTGATTTGTTTCCTAAAGAGAAGAAAAATAAAGACTGACGTCTTTATTTAACCTAAATCTGTAGCCTAATTACAGTTATTTAATTTTAGTTATATAATTCATATACATATAATTTATATAATTTCAAATAATTTAGTTATATAATTTCATATAATTTGATTTAATAACCCAATGTGAAGCAAAAACAGAATGTTCTGACTAGCTTTGTGAAATTATACTACAATGCCTGAACAAAGCAAACAGCAGAAGCTCTGAATGAGACGCAGATTCACTCTCTGACATTAAGAGGCGCTTCTGGAACACCACATACGTCGTTTCCTTGGTTACCGCTGTAAACAAAGCAGCACTGCGCTGAAACACTGCTTTAATATGAACTATACAGAGACAAGATTAAATGAAAATACCACGTAAACTTATCTGAAGTTCTGAAATGCATTCATATAAACCCCCAAATCAAGTTTGAGGATTTTCTTCCAATAGTTCGTGCATCATGAACAGTGAGTGATCTGCCTGCTGCAGTATTTTTCTCTGTGCATCCGTCTTCAGCGTCTCTGGCCTGTGTTAACGGGCATTTACAGACTTCATATTTTCACATAAATTACATTTTGGAAAACAATTGCGTTGCAACGCAGTTTGTGCAATTCCAGAACAGAGATGAGTTGCTTGCAATAAGACAAAAATGGCCGGTTGCAGATCGCATAAGTTCTAGGGGAAGCCATCCTACACACACGTGACTGACTGCTCGCTCGCACCAACAGGAGGAGAAAGGCTTGTGTTACTCTCTACACTGCACTCAACCTGAGGGATTCCTACACTTTCAGTCTTTGAGGAGACTTTCACGGTTTTGAAACCGTGAAATGTTCAAATCGCGGTATACCTTGAAACCGGTAACCGGCCCATGCCTAGTACACACTGATGGTACTCCAAAAAATTTTTCAAGGTTTGCAGGTCTGGTTTCATGTTTATATTGAGTACTTAAAGATTATCTCTTTTTTTTTTCTTTGTACATTGCAGATCTTCTATGACTTGGTCAGACAAATTAACAGGAAAACACCAGTGGAAAAGAAGAAAGCGAAAAAGAAATCCAATTGTGTCCTCCTGTAGAGCCAGTAGCAGCTCAGAGCCAGGTTTGTCACCATGTCACAGTTACATCATCCAACATTCATTTATTCCTTATTTATTCAAAGCTTCTCCCATCTACATTATTTTTCATAGACTGATATATTGATCAGGCCAAATAATGTCCCAGTATTCAGAAACAGAGACTGTAAGGTGGGGTTGTATGATATTAAAAAAAACGTGATGTATAATATGCAATATGGGATACTAGTAAAAAAATGTGGAAATTATATAGCCAAGATTCTACTGTACAGATGCTCTGTACCGGATTTTTATAGCCAAAAACGATCAACGATCTTGATCGGCCGATACAGGTTTTTATTTTTTTTAATAGCCGATTATTCAGAATGATAATGATATCTGCCGATACCAATAGTTTGATACTATACTGGGAACCCTCTCATTTGGTACATTACTGTTATATTAAAGGTTAAAATGAATAACAGAGCTATTATATTCAACTGCTATTAATTTTCAGATATAATAATTACACTTAATTTACACATAATTTCATGCAAGATTTATTCAAACTAGGCTTGCCGCGATGGATGGTGCTGACGGTGATACCGTTGTTAAGTCGCAACACCGGTTACCTCACTTGCCCACCGTGGCACCGACCCCCACCGGTGTTTTGATTTTTTTTATAGTAATAAAAATCATTTAGTTCAGTAAAAGAACAGACACTGCAATTAAAAACTGAACGCGGCTGCGTGCCGACCGACAGTTGCATCACAGATACCGATTATTGGCCGACACATCGGTGCATCTCTAGAATTAATGCAATGACAAAAGTTTACTCATTGGTTAATAGGTATTCATATAAACAAAAACGTTATTTAGTAATATTTCTTATATTATAATTATATTGAATTATTTGGTTTAAAGTAATTACATTCCCTGTCTTTTTATTTAGTTGCATGTTGTTGCTCATTTTATTCTAGGGATATCCTGGTAACTTTGAGGCAGTGATTTATGTGGAAGAACAGCTGCTGTTTTTAATCTGTTTTTTAATAAATGTTGTATTATACTCTACCTTTTAACTTGCTATTATTATTTTACTTGCTACTGATTGGGATTGAAGCCGGTCATAGCAGGGGTCTGTTTCATAAAAGACGCTAAGAAAAGCGGGGATTAAAGTCCAAAACCTGACTTAAATCAATCGGGACTAAATCGGTTTCATAAACGACAATTTAAGTTCACACAATCTCACTAATTAGATCCAGGTTCAATGAGTCAGGATAATTTGATATGCACGCTTATTCTTAAGCAGCCCTTAATGTCGATCATGGATCAAATCGGTCCACCATGGCAAACAGCGAATATTTGTGCTGTTTAATGTATTTGAGATGTTGTGTTTTCCTCAGTGCATAACTGACATGTCACAGGTATATTTTTCATCTGTAAATGTTAGAAAGTCATGCAAATATATCCATTTTGCTGTCAGGAGTGGGCGAGGCTTACGTGAGTGAACGAGCTCTGCTGCGCGCTAAACAGATGGAACGCAATAGAATAATAGTGCAATTCTTTTTTCCCCCACTGTATGTGTATTTTTATGATAGCAGTAACTGTAAATCAAATGTAAGCTAGCTAATACTAGCTCAAATGAGTTAATGTGACTCTTACCAGTTTAATATAGTCTGTTTTCTATTATTTATTTTCATATTTAATTTAGTGATTTTAACTTTTAGTGGTTTAATGCTTTAAAGAGCAATTTTATATTGTAATGTTTTAATCTTCTACTAATATCCATGGCTAGAAACTGCTGATCAACTGAATGCACATGTAGCAACCATGATAAAATGTGTTCATATGTCTTGTCATTCAATCTTGGGCACAATACATTAAATACAGTCGGTTGTAGCCTATATTTTTATTTATTTAAGTTGCTTTTTCTGTATACTTTTGTTTTTGGACTGATAAAGTCAAATAATTGTATGTGAGAGAGTCAGTGGTATTATCAATGCGTTCCTATTGGTCAGTGTTAGAGGAGCTCAGCTAAGTCTGACAGTTAGCCTGCCCTGGATCAGGTTAGTTTCCCAGCATAAGTTGCCACACTGACTGAGCTTGAGCTAAATTTGCTTTATGAAACCAAATCAAGTGAAAATAAGTCAGACTAACTGAAATAAGCCTGGCTTATTTGGTAAACTTGTTTTATGAAACAGCCCCCAGATGAGACTCGCCGGGACGGATAAATGTGTCGTTTTGTACTTGCATGCTCAAGATTGCAGTCCAAACAATAAATATAAACAGTAATCAGGCAAAAGTTTGCTTTAGGAATTAATAGTGGCATTGACGATTTTGAAGATTTAACAAAAATTGTACAAAATTTGTGCAAATGGAAAGTCAAATCTATGATATTTCTCTTTATGAAGCATAGACTTTATTTAATCCACAAACTATTAAACCATTATTCTTCAATTATTAAAATCATTGAGTTATCGCAAGCCCTTGCGATATGCACATTGTTGCTATTTTGGTAAATTCAATAATATTGTGCAGCCCTACTGTAAGACCACACACACAACAACAGCATATTATCTATGGTGCTCTGAAGGTTACAGAATTCAGCACTGCAAAGTGAGTGCAAGTAGAGTTTCAGTGCAGTGCCCTTTTTGCTGCATGAGCTCTGCTGAAAAGGCATTATATGAGTGCAATATTTGCAGTATAGGCTTTTAATAATCAACATTCCAGCAAGGTGTTCAGCATTGTAGGTCTGATGATGTGAAGCCATGTATTTGTTTGTGCAATTTCTATAAAAATCTTCAGTAAGACCAACTTAAACTTTTCCACTAGAAGGCAGCATTTGCTCAGTCTATAGCAGTTAGAATGACTTGTTGTGCTGTGGCTTCGTGTTGTACTTATGGTAAATGTGCTTCAATATGAGTTTTTGTTTTTATTGATTTTTTTTCTCTCTGCAGAATGCTGTAATGAAGAACTGTTAGCTTGTTTGGATCATGCCAGCATTCCCATCCTCAGTGAGTGATTCAATGGAACAGCTGACTGACTGACTCAAAGCAGCACCGGACATAGCAAACGAGAACAACTCTTTTATTTCCCCTTTATTTTGGCAGTAAAATTTGAGGAAAAACTCAATTTCCCAGAAGCAATTTTAGTAGAACTGAGAACATCTCAACATTTCCTGGACCATCCAGACTTTTTACATCATTGACCGTGGCTGATGAAGAAATTAAACCTCATATTAACATAATTGTGTTTTTAAAACTCTTCCCCATAAACTCTTGAACTCTGTGCTTTTCAATGGCCTCATCGCCTGTTGAAGAAGCAGGACGAGAAATCAGAGTTAACAGTATTCATTTGCGCAATACCACATTTTCAAGGACATGAAGGATGACCGTGTTTAATATCCAGTTATCAGCAGTCAGCATGAGCATCTTTAAGTGTAGATGTTGTAAATGATGTCAAGTTCAGTTGTTTTCTCTCAAGTTGTACTTCCATTCTTGATACAGTGTGTAAATGTCTATAAATGACAAATGTATGTAAATGTTTTGCTGACAACAATGGACTCGTTCATCAGAAAGTACTGCCCCGTTACCAATGTGACATTATTTTATATTCAGTCACTTGGTTTTCCTAGCTCATATATCATATTCTAATGCCATTCTGTTTCATAAAGACTGCTCCATAAATAAACAGGCCTTTTATAGTGTAAAAAGTGGGGGAACGATCGATTTCTATGTCTATCGAGACTGAAATATATTGTACTAAACCAACTATTTCCTCTTATGTTTTTCTGTCAAAAGATGATCTGGCTTTTAAGATTATTAAATTTTATTACCTTTTCATTATTTCTGCCAGTTTGTATTTTATTGGTTTATCTTTAATGTCTCTCCTGGTATGTTCTTAATGAGCTAATTTCTCTGATGGAATAACAGGTTTTAAACAAAAGTACTTTTTTTTTTTTTTTTTCTCTGACCAAAAATATTTAGATCCTCCATGGTATTAATATTACTGTTGGTACATTCTAATGTTTAACCTTCTGCTTTTTCATCACATGAAACCCAATTAAAGACAAACAATATGTGACAGCCAGCTAATAATTTTACATTCATGGCAGAAGTAGAGCAGCTTAACCTCAGGGCTTGAACTGCTACTTTAGGACAATGGTAAATGGGGAAAAAATGTGAACTTGGCAATTCTACATATGACATCAAAGAGTTAAAAACTGGAATTTTATGTAAAAAAAAATGTTTCTAAACAAATAGGACTCAATATTGCACTAAATAATATGTGTAACACCAAGACAGATTAACTTTAGGGATATCAATCTGTTTAGTTTGGAAGCAGAAGTGTTTGTGAATCCGTTTCACCTGCTTTGGTGCAAATGAAAGCGAAAACAGGTGAGGCTGGAGAGGCAACACCAAGACAACCCCCCCCCAATGGTTGTGCAGGTGGTGGCCACAGAAAATTGCTCTCTTACTGTTCCTAACTGATTTGTCTAACTCTTCCCCATAAACTCTTGAACTCTGTGCTTTTCAATGGCCTCATCGCCTGTTGAAGAAGCAGGACGAGAAATCAGAGTTAACAGTATTCATTTGCGCAATACCACATTTTCAAGGACATGAAGGATGACCGTGTTTAATATCCAGTTATCAGCAGTCAGCATGAGCATCTTTAAGTGTAGATGTTGTAAATGATGTCAAGCTCAGTTGTTTTCTCTCAAGTTGTACTTCCATTCTTGATACAGTGTGTAAATGTCTATAAATGACAAATGTATGTAAATGTTTTGCTGACAACAATGGACTCGTTCATCAGAAAGTACTGCCCCGTTACCAATGTGACATTATTTTATATTCAGTCACTTGGTTTTCCTAGCTCATATATCATATTCTAATGCCATTCTGTTTCATAAAGACTGCTCCATAAATAAACAGGCCTTTTATAGTGTAAAAAGTGGGGGAACGATCGATTTCTATGTCTATCGAGACTGAAATATATTGTACTAAACCAACTATTTCCTCTTATGTTTTTCTGTCAAAAGATGATCTGGCTTTTAAGATTATTAAATTTTATTACCTTTTCATTATTTCTGCCAGTTTGTATTTTATTGGTTTATCTTTAATGTCTCTCCTGGTATGTTCTTAATGAGCTAATTTCTCTGATGGAATAACAGGTTTTAAACAAAAGTACTTTTTTTTTTTTTTTTCTCTGACCAAAAATATTTAGATCCTCCATGGTATTAATATTACTGTTGGTACATTCTAATGTTTAACCTTCTGCTTTTTCATCACATGAAACCCAATTAAAGACAAACAATATGTGACAGCCAGCTAATAATTTTACATTCATGGCAGAAGTAGAGCAGCTTAACCTCAGGGCTTGAACTGCTACTTTAGGACAATGGTAAATGGGGAAAAAATGTGAACTTGGCAATTCTACATATGACATCAAAGAGTTAAAAACTGGAATTTTATGTAAAAAAAAATGTGTCTAAACAAATAGGACTCAATATTGCACTAAATAATCTGTGTAACACCAAGCCAGATTAACTTTAGGGATATCAATCTGTTTAGTTTGGAAGCAGAAGTGTTTGTGAATCCGTTTCACCTGCTTTGGTGCAAATGAAAGCGAAAACAGGTGAGGCTGGAGAGGCAACACCAAGACAACCCCCCCAATGGTTGTGCAGGTGGTGGCCACAGAAAATTGCTCTCTTACTGTTCCTAACTGATTTGTCTCTAGTTTTATTCGGGTCAAAACTTAGAAACCGACTCCATGAGGGCCTGACATCCTGTAGGGCAGGGGTTGCCAACTGGCGGACTCTGGCGGACTGCCTTTTGACATAATGAAATAAATGCCAAGCGCTATTTTCTAATAAAATAAAATTTATATCAAATCACATCAAGGTGAGCTCAGTAGAGCCATTTGGGTTGTACAGCGCCACGGGTTACTACAGTTAACTTGCTACGGTCAGACATGTGGCCGTGCGTGCAGTGAAGAGAGAGATTAAACTTTCAGTGAGTGAAAAACAATAGCATTCTCAAAAATTAGGAAAGTTGACGGGTCCTTTGAAAGTATTAAATTTAGTTGTATCAAATTTAAGGCTGAGAACCTCTGGGATGTTATGTATCAGAGCATCCGAAGCAGCCAAGTAGTACCACAGACTGTCCAGGAGCTCAGTGATGCAATGGTGGCAACATACACTTTCAAGGTGGAGGGGAACAGCCTCCGCTCCAACCTCACCTGCAGATAGGAAAGCACAACACTGATCTGTCATCTCCGGGGTCTTCTTGGTGAGAACAACACGACTTTAGGGCATAAGCCTGCCTAGTAGAGGGGGTTCTAGCCTGAGTGATAGTATCTATTACTGCCTGTGGTGAGCCACTTAAGTCTGACGTGTCCCATCCAGAAGCCACACGTGGAGGTTCCAGAGATCTGGACAGGTGCCAAATGGTGCCCTCATCGCTGAGAAAGGAGGTCCTTCCTCAAGAGAATCCGCCAGGGAGGGGCTGTCGCGAGGACCATCAGGTCCGAGTGGGCCGGTAGGGTGCAACCAACAAGACCTGCTCCACGCTCGCTGGGGGAAATGCATACTTGCACAGACCTCTGGGCCAGCTGTGTGCCAGTGCATCCATGCCAAGGGGGACCTCGGTCATGGAATAAAACAGCTGGCAATGGAAGGGTTGGCAGGAGGTGTGTGACGAAGCAGCGCATCCTGCAACTGCAACCTCTTGGCCTGTGGCCAAAGAAGGCGTCAAGACTGAACATGAGAAAGCGTAACATGCCCATCATCAGACCCTAACGTATCCGACACAGGGATTGAGAAAACGGCTTTTTTTTGTGATGTTTTGGCTACTGCTGGCCATTGGGTCACCAGATGTAAGCCCCAGGCCCTCTTCCGGGGGAGGGAGTGGCGAAGTCACCACCCTCTGGGGCAGTTCCCTCTGTCCCTGGGCCACCCATAAGTCTTCTATCTTCTTAGAAGACTTAGCGGTGCACTGAGAATCGGGCTGTGTCACCATCCAACGGGACGCAGGGGGATGCCCTCAGCAATGAGCAGGTGTAGAACCCAACCTTGGTGGCTTGGTGGGAGTTGAATCATGCCGAGGCAAGATGTGTTTTTTGGCCTCTGTCTGCTTCTGGACTGCCAAGAACTGCTGGGCAAAGTCCTCTACATTGTTGCCGAAGAGGCCAGCCTGAGAGCTGGGAGCATCAAGAAAGCAAACTTTGTCTGCATCTCGCGTCTCAGCCAGGTTCAGCCAGAGATGGTTTTCCTGGACTACAAGCATAGACATCACCTGCCCGAGGGACCGCACCATGGCCTCATACAGCTTTTTTAGCACCTTGGCTTCATGGACCTGCAGGATCGCCATATTTGATATACACACACAGTCATTCAAAAGTTTCATGTTTTTGTTCAATTAGGTTACTTTCTTTAATCAAAAATAGTAAAACTGAATTTTTTATTTTTATTTTAATATATTAAAAATATATATATATTTATGATGGCATTACCTTCCAAGCTCCATTATTCCAGTCTTCAGTCATGATCCTTCAGAAAATATTCTAATATGCTGATTGCTGTTCAAGGAATGTTTCTTATTGTTATCCATGTTTAATGAAAGTGCAAACTGTGATACAGTGTCTGCTTTAAGGATTCACAGATGAACAAAGGGTTTGAAGAACAGCATTTATTTGAAATATAAATATTTTGTAATTTTATAAATGTCTTTTTAATCTATTTAATTCATCCTTGTAAAATAAAAGTATTAATTTCAGTCCTCTACATTGTTGCCGAAGAGGCCAGCCTGAGAGCTGGGAGCATCAAGAAAGCAAACTTTGTCTGCATCTCGCGTCTCAGCCAGGTTCAGCCAGAGATGGTTTTCCTGGACTACAAGCATAGACATCACCTGCCCGAGGGACCGCACCATGGCCTCATACAGCTTTTTTAGCACCTTGGCTTCATGGACCTGCAGGATCGCCATATTTGATATACACACACAGTCATTCAAAAGTTTCATGTTTTTGTTCAATTAGGTTACTTTCTTTAATCAAAAATAGTAAAACTGAATTTTTTATTTTTATTTTAATATATTAAAAATATATATATATTTATGATGGCATTACCTTCCAAGCTCCATTATTCCAGTCTTCAGTCATGATCCTTCAGAAAATATTCTAATATGCTGATTGCTGTTCAAGGAATGTTTCTTATTGTTATCAATGTTTAATGAAAGTGCAAACTGTGATACAGTGTCTGCTTTAAGGATTCACAGATGAACAAAGGGTTTGAAGAACAGCATTTATTTGAAATATAAATATTTTGTAATTTTATAAATGTCTTTTTAATCTATTTAATTCATCCTTGTAAAATAAAAGTATTAATTTATTTTTTTAAATAAAAACTATAGTGATTCCAGATTTGAATGCTACTGCATTTATGCATTTTCAGTTGTGGCCAAGCAGCATATGCAAATAGTTTTTGGGGCCTAAAAGTAAATGTATTTGTCGCCACCTAAAGAAGTAATGATGAAACGTAATTATGAAAAGGCTAAATGAAAAGATCAGATCAAAATCCTCACCGACAAGCTGACTAGTACAAATTATCACTTTTCATGGGGCGTTATCCTGTATTTGATTGGCTGAAAGGAGAAACGAGGACTGGAAACGGCCAATCACAAACAGACACAAAGCACAACACACACCTCCCGTCTTTTACCGCGCGAGAGCATTTTTATTTCTCACACAAACAATACAATCGTGATCATTTGTGAAAAGATTTCATTTTAATGTACACTATTATAAAAAAGTAGTTTGGAAGTCTACGTATTACTGTTTCTCCCATGTTTCATTCATTTTTTACATGACTTGGCTCACACCACATTTAGTCCGTAGGGGTAATTTGTGCCTCAATGTAATATCCATTTCATACATTTTATATATTTGCGAATGTTTTATTTATCACATACATGTTTTACATTTTACATACAATATGTATCATTGGGGTATTCATTTTTAATGCATGATGTCTATTATTAGATCAAATGAACGCACATGTCACCCTACATTGGTGAAATAAGTTTCATCCGCATAACCCGGAAGTTCTCTGAGCTTTTGGTGACGGTGCATTAGGCGACATGGCTCATCTTTGTAAGTGGCATTTCTGCAAGTTTTTATGCTTTTGTTAGAGATTTTTGTTCATTTAATCATTGTAAGAGTAAACAGTGATGCGTAACTGACATGTTTAGGCTGATGTTGTGAATGCAGTTTGTCGTATTTTATCCGAACAGTTGTTCTTGCAGGCACCAGGCAATCAGTACCTGCATTTATTCTGATATGAGTTACTATGATATTAGATGTTTTCAGTAGTGTTTATCCAGTGTCAGGTGAACATTTATAGTGCAAGTTATAGTTTCGTTAAGTCATTATATTAGCAGTATGTTATAGCTTCTGTATTTGATAGCATTTGCATTGAACATGAAAATTCTGGTGTTTATATTATATCTTATATAAGGCCCTAAAGTTTCTCTTTGTGATTCAGAGCAGCAGTAGATGTTAGTGGAGCATCAGGACTGAAGCTCTGGATCAGCTGAGGGAGGGGCTTGCTTTCTTTGCTCATCTCTTGGTATTGCAGGGCTTTATAATGATATGATTGGGGGTCACTGAGCTTCAGATGTTTCCAGAATTTAATTGCCCTTTTTTGTATCTTTATGATTAGAGGCTATTTGCCTAATTCTGCCCTGCATGCGTTATTTGTTGTGTGCCGGTTACAGAGTTCTGCATCTCTCTCTGTCTCTCTCACTCACTCTCTCTCTGTCTCTCTCACTCACTCTCTCTCTCTCTCTGTCTCTCTCACTCACTCTCTCTCTCTGTCTCTCTCACTCACTCTCTCTCTCTGTCTCTCTCTCTCTCTGTGTGTCTCTCTCTCTCTCTCTCACTTCTGTTGTGAAGTTATATAAGGATTAATAAGGACACTTCAAGGTTTCAGCTGGGAATTTGTAATATTGTGATTTTAGACCAGAGGCTATCATGGACAAGTTAAGCTCAACTGTAAAAATATTTATTTATTATTATTTCCTATTGATTTCAATCAACCCAGCTCTTTCCACACCCTCAAAATGCATATTATGCTTTCCTAGGAGTCAAACGCATCCCTTAAGTGTAATTACCTTAAGATACGTACGTGTCATCATATGAACTGTATTCGTTGTGTATGTACCCATTTGAAGGTTTGTTTAGCCTGTTGGTCCTGTCCATGGTTCTTGAGACCCAGGCCCTGACCCCAACCCATCATCTGACCACCACTGATGTGGCCAGGCTTCAGGCTGTATTGAGCCAACCCTTCACTGACCTCAAGTCTGCTTATTACTCTGTTGTTGGACTTAGCAAGTTGGGAATCTTAGTTGCGGATGCAGATGTAAGAAAAAATATCTTTCATAATGGTGAAAGACATACATTTTTTTAAATAATTAATATTAGTGAGTCTATATTATTGTCTCAAATTTTGTCTTATTTGTCTACCTCAGGAGACATGCCAGTTTATCAAGTCAAACCTGGATCCCTCTAGTGTGGAGTCACTCTTTTATGCCGCAGAAGCCAGCCAGGCTCTGTCTGGATGTGAGGTAAAATACATCTTCACTCTCATTTTTGTCTTGATCACTGGTTCCATGTCAATCAGATCCCTAGTTCAGTAGTCAGGGCACTGACCTAGGAGTCAGCCAATTTAAGGGCTACCTCAATTGCAAATCCTTTCACTAGAATGCCAGGTTCCTTTACTAGTGTCCAAATTTGTGTATACAATATGCTGATTCTCGAGCTAGGGAGCTGATTGAGATGCACCGACTGTTCAAGTTGAATTGCTGTCATTTGATGTGGGGTTCTTTGTCTACCTTATTGTTTTGAAGCATTTGGAGCAGATTAAAAAAAAATGTTGGTGTCACAATACATTTTTTTTCATGCCTCCATATGCATAATTATTACAAAATTAACATTGAGTCAGGTCACCGTAATTTCTATAGCACTGTATACAACACCGATTGTTTCAAAGCAGCTTCACAGTAATAAGAAGGAAAATAGCAGAATCAATTATGGAAACTCGGTTATGGAGGCTAATTAGATTCTACTGTAAAGCAGCTTTACACAATGACACAATACTGTCATTATTTAGCTCAAGTCAGTTCAGTGTTGGTTCAGAAGTGTAACATTCATCAATTTTTGAAAAGTTCAATTCAGCTTTTAGTAGTTGTACAAAAGGCAGTAATGCCGTTATTCAGCTTGAGTCAGTTCAGTGTTGGTTCAATTCATTTGGATAAAGTGTCGATGTTGCAAGATGTGATTCAGCTATTAAGCAGCTCTACAGAAGACAATAGTTAATTAATTCAGCTTAATTCAATTCATCTGGTCTGGATACAGGCTGGTTCCAACTATGGTAACCTCAGGATAAGGATAAGACAGACAGACTAATATTAGCGTAGATGCCATTCTTCTTTTGATGTAACAAGTACACTGGGTGTTATGAGAAGTGTTCCACATTCCGGTTGCCCTAATTAATGCAGCCTAACAGTCCTTTGATTGATTTGAATGATAGAAATGTGAAAGTGTGTTTTGTATTCTAGGTTAAAGAGATTACTCTTTAATGTACATTTAAGCTGTCAGAGTGTGTCTGCCTCCTGAACAGGACTAAACAGTGTAGACTGTTTCAAAGTTTGGGCACTAAAACTTTGGGACAGCAAGAAGCGTGAAGGACTATAATGTGATAGGAACTCACTCAAGTACTGAGAAGCTAAACTATTCAGGGATTTATATATGTAATCAGCAAAATTAAAAAAATTATACAATGCTTAATGGGGAGCCAATGCAGTGTTGACAGATAATACTTGATAATACTATATATATAGAAACGAAGGCAAAAAAGAAAACTCTCTATTGCCAGTGCTTTAAAGAACAATGACATCAGAATATCAATGTTATAATAATTAAATTATATAGTATTATTATAAGTATTACTATTTTCTGTTAAACATAACGATATGTTAAAAGCACCCAAAAAGTTATTTTTTTGTATAATTAATTAGATATTTCTTTAAAAGGTTACTTAAGTAAAAAAAATAATAATAAAAAAAAAAATTCTGCCATCACTCACCCTCATGTTGTTCAAAACCCATTCATTTTCAAAACACAAATATCATCAATATATTTTTAATGAAACTGGAGACTTCTCTGTCTCTCCATTGAAAGTCCACGCAACCAAACTTTGGGGCTTCAAAATGTTTACATTGTAAACGTAACCCATAAGAATTGAAAAGTTTAATCTAAGTCTTCTGGCGACCGTTTTATGTGATAAACAGATGGATGGTCAGATGGAGCTCATCGAATATGGTAAACACAAAGCTAAACCATGCTTGCTTGCTTTGTTTTTGTGTGTCACGCAAGCATGTTCAAGCTTCCCCAAGAACCAGTGAGGTTTGTTCTGGTGTCAGGCAAGTATAGTTGAGCCTCCGTGTTTACTATATTTAATGTGCTCTATGTAAGAGCATTGTTTATATATGAATAAAAGCCTAAATTAAATGTTAATCATATTATATGAAGCAATTTTGTATCTTCAGAAGAATAATTAAACTGCTTTATTCATGTGGATTAGTTTTACAATGTCTTTTTAAAGCAATAAGCCCCAAGAAGCCGTGGTTTACAGTGAATTTATAACAGCTAAGGGGTGTTGTTAGACATGACGCGAAGCGGAGTGCCTAAAACTCCCTTAGCGGTTATAAATTCACTGTAAACCACGGCTTCACGGGGCTTATTGCTTTTATAAAACGGTTATTCCATATACGTAAGGTTTCACAGAATAAAACAGAGCAAATAAGGTGTGATGTTATAAATAAAAACAGTATTCTTCCACCAAACAATTTTGTAGTTCCTCAGAAACAGTTGTGGTTCCAACCATAGACATAATAAATACCTAGACGCCTCATTAGCCGCTTTGAGCCATTGCTGCGATACGTCAACGCGTTCGCCATATTTGTGAGGGCAAGACTGTCTTAAAATTAAATGGAGGTAAGCTGCGTTTTTTTCTGGATAAAAACACGATAACGTTTACATTTATCAACCGATTTCAGAGGTTAAATATATATATATATAAATAAATAATAAAAAATCCTCTGGATCAATCTCATTTCAAGGTACACATTTTATTTCAGTTTTCAGTTCTAGCTTTCCCTAGGAATAGAGTGGTTTAGTTGTGATGACAAAGCCTGACTAATAAAGACTAATTTTCCACTGCTTCCCTCAAGATTTTCCTATATTTTATTAAATGAATGAGTAAAATAACAACTTGACAATGCTTGACATTTTGCTCTACAGTGCAAATTACACACATCCATGCAGAAAACACACATTTTGATAAAGTCTGGGGAGGGGGAGAGAGAGAGAGAGAGAAAGAGAGTGTGTGGTTTGAATATGACCAGGGTAATTCTGACCATTCATTCAGGGCTGTTCTGGGTTTTAACTAGTACAAATACAACATTAGGCTGTGGAAGTATAGCCTACTCTCTTGGAAAAGCAGAGAGCAGGCTTTCTTCAGCTTTCCTTAAAAGGGTCATATGATGCGATTTTAAAATTTTCCTTTCTCTTTGGAGTGTTACAAGCTCTTGGTGCATAAAGAAGATCTGTAAAGTTGCAAAGACTAAAGTCTCAAATCCAAAGAGATACTCTTTATAAAAGTTAAGACTTGTCCACGCCCTCCTAAAAACGCCACGTTCTAACACCCCCC